ATCACTTGAAATGATGGTTTACTTTTTAATGATAATATTGTAATATATAATTATAATTTAGATGAACCTGGTTTTCACTCAGGATAAAAATAACAGGGCCAAGCTAGGTATCCCCCAGCCATATGGCAAAATAATTATCTTATAGTAAAATCTTTCTCTTCTCTTATAAAATAAATTCTTAATTACTAAATTTTCCTCCATCATTCCTGATCTTATTCTCTACTCTCCTCTAGAAAGTCAACAGGTAGACATACTTCATGGAGTCTGTCATAGCAGAGAAGAAACAAACACAGATTTGTTTGGAGACCATCCCTAGATTTTCTGCCATCAGTTCTTAAGGATGAACCATAACAATGTCTGGAAACACATTAGAACTGACTGTGCATATTCTTTTTCTAAAGTTAATGATTGTAACTGTTTTAAAATCTTGTTATTTTAAAATAAAAAAATACAGAAAGCCATACAAAATAAATTTGTGGCACTATGAAATTTTATAAAGCAAACATATCGTTATTGTAAAGTAACCACCACTGTGGTCAGGAAAAACAGAACTTTGCCAGCTATCTCAGAAGCCACGGCCATGAGCCCCATCCCAATCATAACCTCTTCCTATCTCTCATAAGGAACCATTATCCTGACATGTACAGTAATCATTTCCTTGTGATTTTTTATAGCTTTATCATCCAAAAGTGCATCCCTATTACTTTAATTGCTATTAATACTATTAATTGCTGATTTCTAAAGGTATAATTATTTTACATTTGGTACTCCATATGGATGCTAAATAGTTAATATATTTTAAAATATAAATGCAAAGATCAAAATCATCTTAAATGTTTCCTCTCTTTTTCTTTTTCTCACAATAAATATGAACAGGGTGATTTTTTGAGGGAAAAGATATTAATTAACACTGCATCTATAATTATTTGGCAAATAAAATAATATGGTGACAAAAATCCATATTCTAAAAAGGCAATGATTAGAAAACAAACCAAAAAAAAATTAAAAACCAAAAGCCAAAAATGTTTCTGGGATAATTATTACCAAAAAAGTTATTAGAAATTATAGAATGGCTCAAAATTACATCTATTCAGTTTATATATCTCTCTTTTAGTATGTGCATTTACCAAAAAGGTCTTTCATGAGCAGTGCTAAATATGCTTATGAATATAACATGGTTACATGAAAACATATGACCACCTAAAATTTAAATTTTATTTTACTAAAATTTTATTTTATTTTTTTGTTTTATTTATTATTTTGTTTTGCGGTACGTGGGCCTCTCACTGTTGTGGCCTATCCCGTTGCGGAGCACAGGCTCCAGACACGCAGGCTCGGCGGCCATGGCTCACGGGCCCAGCCGCTCTGCGGCATGTGGGATCTTCCCGGACCGGGGCACAAACCCGTGTCCCCTGCATCGGCAGGCGGACTCTCAACCACTGCGCCACCAGGGAAGCCCTATTTTCTAATTTTAGAAGAAAGATTAGAATTCACTGTAAGGTGAAATTTAATCTGCTTTAAAGTAACTTTCCTGTATATAAAGTTAACTACAGATATTTGGAAAATACAGAACTATATAGATAAAAATAAAAATCACGCATAATTCCAGTATCAAAAGATAATCACTTTTAACACTTTAGCCTATTTTTTTTTTTTTTTTTTGTGGTACGCGGGCCTCTCACTGTTGTGGCCTCTCCCGTTGTGGAGCACAGGCTCCGGATGCACAGGCCCAGCGGCCATGGCTCACGGGCCCAGCCGCTCCACGGCATGTGGGATCTTCCCGGACCGGGGCACGAACCCGTGTCCCCTGCATCGGCAGGCGGACTCTCAACCACTGCGCCACCAGGGAAGCCCTAGACTATTTTTTAATTAAAAGGATTATTCATAATTTACCTCATTATGCCTCCACTATCTCTTTTTTTAAAAAATGGTTCTGAAGAACCTAGGGGCAGGACAGGAATAAGGACGCAGATGTAGAGAATAGACTTGAGGACATGAGGAGGGCGAAGGGTAAACTGGGATGAAGTGAGAGAGTGGCATGGACACATATACACTACCAAATGTAAAATAGATAGCTAGTGGGAAGCAGCCGCATAGCACAGGGAGGTCAGCTAGGTGCTCTGTGACCACCTAGAGCGGGGATAGGGAGGGTGGGAGGGAGATGTAAGAGGGAGGAGATGTGGGGATATATGTATTACGTATAGCTGATTCACTATGTTATAAAGCAGAAACTAACAAACCATTGTAAAGCAATTATAATTCAATAAAGATATTTAAATATATATATATAATGTATAACTGAATCACTTTGCTCTATAGCAGAAATTAACGCATTGTACATCAACTATACTTCAATAAAATAAATTTTAAAAAATAAAAGAAAAAAAAGTAGTTTATCTTTCATTATCCATTCAATCTCATAGGTAAGTGAAGACTAGAAAATAATGAGACTACTTTTTAAACATATCAGAATTTATACATGCAAGTATTTTTTTACTCTGAAGATGCAGCTAATAAAGAAAATATTTTTCAGAATGCTTCCTTGAGAACTACCTTGAAATTCAGTAGGTATACATACTAATCACTATCTTAGAAATGGTTCCCAGTGGACTCTAATATAGCAATATTACGTGACAGAATTTTACCAAACTCTTATTGTTTGTTCCTGTTTCCTATTTTCTTCCCTGAGCCTTTCAAACTTCTATATTTACACATTAAACATGAATTATGTTGATCATTTTCAGAAATTGTCTACTATTAAGAATTCAGGAAATCCTACCCATGAAAATTACCATAAAAGTTTGCTACAGAAAACAAATGCATTTCTAAAAATCCAATTGCAATATAAGAGTCTGTAAGTCAAACTCTATCTTTACAGCAACCTCCATTTGAAAAAATTTAGAGATGTATTACCATTAAAAATAAATTGACTTAAAGGTATAATAAAAATGCCACCTAAGAAATCAAATCTCTTAAAACTAATGTTTAAGATAAAATTATGAAATATCTGATAAAACATGTACTAATTCATAACAAATTGTAAAATCCAAATACTGACTTTTTTCTAAACTACATTTTCTTAGGACCAAATTACATGGTAAGGGGTTATTCTTCCTATAAAATCTAATTTCACTCCTACCTCTGGTCAATGCTCATTTTCAAAAACCTTGAAATATTTAAGTGAGTTTCTAAAGTGAGTACTCGCTGAAATACCGAAAGCACCTTATGGATGCAAAATGATTACGATTACGATGATGATGATGGCTATGACAACAACAATGATGATTTATCTATGCTTCTAAGAAGGAGATACTAAATTAGTTCAGTGTTCCCTATAAGATCTCCATGGTGAAGAGAAGGCTGCATCTTTCTATACAATGGAATTTTGAAAAAGTACTTATGTAATTAATTTCTTAAGATGTAGATCCACAAACATTGTACGTCCTTTACAGCAGAACACTGATACTATCTAAAGCCATCTAGCTGTCAAAATTAGTGGTTATTTAAAAAACTTTTCCCATTACTGGCAGGCCAAACCTAGGCACGTCTTTATTGATGTAAGAGACGGATGAGATGAGTATTTCACTCTAGCCAGAATCCTTACACTCTTCATGGTTGGGTCTCTGCTTTACTTTACAGCCATTACCCAAAGGTGAAAAAGGAGAAGGAGATTGTTCAAACAAATGCCATGTCCTGGGCCCTGCGTTATCTGCCTTTTCTGTACTTCTTTATATGCAGCATCTCTTTCACTCACCTTGTCCCCAAGAGCTAGTGTTTAGCACATAGCAAGCTTTATGAGTACAATCAAGTACAATCAAGTGATTACTTGTGAAGTAATCACAAGCCGCCTCACTTTAATCAGTTTAGTATACGTTTAAAGTATTACACAGTATTACAAGATGCCCAAGATTTTCACTTCTCTTAAGTCTTCATACTCTTCCTTGTGCTGTGTTTGGGGTTATAATTCTTCTGGCTAGTTCCACTCTTCAGACTAAAACTGAGGTATTTCCTTTGGAAAAACAAGTTCTTTTTCCCTTTTGAGCCCCGGTTCTGGTTTTAAAGGCTGTTTACACAGAATGATGCCTCCCTTTTACCAACTAAACATGTATCCTTCTGGTAAAGTTTAAGGTACTTAAAATCGATATTTCCTCAGGCTCCAGGCCCAATTCCACTTCCTCCACACCAAGGAAACTGGTTTTCCTCCATCCCAAACTCAATCTCCATGTCTTTTTTGGACAGTTCTGCAAACACAGTGTTTTCCCAGCCCCTTCAAAACACAATCTCCTCATTATTAAATGCTATTTTTCCCTAAAGAAAACCTACTCCCCCGCCACTTTTTGTTTTTTTTACAGTTCTACTTCCTGATGCCATCAACTCTCTAAAATCACATTTACAGTTCTTCTAAAAAAACACTCAATATACATCACCTAGCCAAGGATAGGCCACTGCTCTTCCTTAAGAATTTAAAAAAAAAAATTCATATTTTCATTTTTGCCCAGACTGTTTTGCTCTCTTATCTTGTATTTCCTTTAATTTACAATAAATTTATTTATGGAACTGAATTCAGTGAAGGGGATATTTAGCCTTATGATGTGTAACTAAAAGTTGCAAAAGAGAATAATGTGATATTTCTATATATTTTTAAAATGCTATATGCAGAAGAGGAACTTTTCACTTATAGAATTCTTACGATGAATTTTGTGGAATAATTACTACTTAATTTTTATAAATCTGCAACTTCACAAATCAGGCACACTTAAAGATAAGAAACACCTTTAACATCCTGGAGTTAGGACTACTCTCTTATCCTAAGTTTCTTCAACAAGACTCACAAACCCATTTGTATTTCACTTTTAAAGTGATAAGCCTACTTCTCAAGACAAAAAGAATAATTTCTTAAGTACCTCCGGAAAAAAATGGATGGTCCAATGCATTTTTCAAGAACAGTGGTTAAGAAGAAAACTGACAATATAACTTAGTAAAATTATATAGTAACTTACGTAATCATGGAAGGCTTTTGCTTCACTTGAATGTTCACATGTTTCCCGTCTTTCTGGAGCTGCACAGTAGAGATCCCAAAATACACTAAAAAAGTAATTATGGTAACATTAAGAAAATCATATAATGTCAAATGAAAGATCACAATTCCAAAAATTAGAAGACAAATGTTCTTTACACAAAATGTGTTTTCTTCTTCAGGACAAATATTTATTTGAAAGATTTAAATACAGACAAGGCTCGTCATGTAATAATAGGGTATAACCCAGCCATTGTTCAGAAATGCTAAGATTTTTCCAAAATGAAAATTTAATTTAAAAAAATTTAGACTGTCATTCTTAACTGTCTATTTACATGACTTAAACACATGATTGAAATAATTATAATACTTTTCACAACTTCCCCATGAAGAATGAAAAGGTTTTAAAAATACCAATTTAAGCATTAAGGAATTAAAGTAACTTTATTTATAAAAGTGGAATTAATTTTTTCAAGATAATTTTGTTGTCCAATCCCCAGACCGATACCCTACCCTGACTGTTAAGTCACACCTGTCAAATAAATATATTTTCTTAAAATATCCTCTGGTTTTCCCTTGTAATTACAAAGACAGGTTAGTAATTCTGAAAATTAAAAAATTCACACTAACTTTCTTTTTTTCTTCCTACTCAAGAACAATGGGATAAAGCAAGACGGAACTGGTTGAGAAAAAATAATTATACTGCTTACAAAACATATGGCCCCAGTCATCCTCCCATTTATAAAATTAACAACAAACATGAGCAAGGGATTAAAAATCAGCATAGCAGGGCTTCCCTGGTGGCGCAGTGGTTGAGAGTCCGCCTGACGATGCAGGGGACGCGGGTTCGTGCCCCGGTCCGGGAAGATCCCACATGCTGTGGAGCGGCTGGGCCCGTGAGCCATGGCCGCTGAGCCTGAGCGTCCGGAGCCTGGAAAACTTAAGGCCCGTGAGGGTAAGGGGCAAAAAAAAAAAAAAAAAAAAAAAATCAGCATAGCAAATGGCTGAAAGTACTGGCAATAAACAAAGGTAATTTTACTGATCAACAAGTATTTTTTATTATACATTTCCCACTCTATAGGATTGGAAAGTAGGCTAAGCTGAGTGGTTAACAGCACAAGTTTTGGAATAGGACATATTTGAGACAAAAGCTGCCCCTGCCGTTTACTAGCTCTTTTTTTTTTAATCTTTATTGGAGTATAATTGCTTCACAATGTTGTGTTAGTTTCTGCTGTACAACAAAGTGAATCAGCTATATGTATACATATATCCCCATAATCCCCTCCCTACTGAGACTCCCTCCCACTACTAGCTCAATTTGTTTAAACAGATAGGAATTTCCTCCTCTATACAATGGGGTTGCTGAGAAAATTAAATTATACAAAATAAACACAGGGTCTTATAGTAAGCATATTATTAATAATATAATCAATACTATAATTAGCTTGCACAAAAGCTTAAAATGCATACATATTGTTAAGGCAGGTCATTGGGCTGAGGGCACAGTTAACAATGGTACAATAAAGCTTGGTAAATCAAACTGGTCTCTTTGTTTTGACCCTTGAAGTCTCATTGAACCTGGGTCTCTCTCCTCAGTTAGGATAAAACATTCTGTATGCCTTATAACACAATTAATTCAGTAAAATAAGATTACCCTTAGAGGTGAAATACAAAGCAAACAATAAAGACCAAATTAATTTAAATAAACTTCAATTCCTTTAGGAGAGTGAAAGCAGTTAAAAGTTGTACCTGACCTCCCTCTATCCCTTTCGGGATAAAAAGTATAAGAATTATACACAGACAAGGATACAGCTTAAAGTTTTCCACCTGGATCAGGTGTGTTATGAATTACAGTATATTACAATTATTCTCATTTTCATGTTCTTAAGGAACTTAAAAGCTCTTAAAACCAAAATTTTATAATGGTTGTCTTTAAATTGTATTTAGTTTAATCACAGAATATTATATGCAATATTATGACAATGTTTCTCTTTATGGATTTAATAGAAGGTCAAAAATTTGCAAGAGCCAGATTAAGGATAATAAACCAAATTACTAAAGCAGATAACTTTATATATGTTATTTCTAACAATCCTACATTACCTATACATTTTTTTCCTTGAATAAAGGTAAAGAAATATATCCTTTTAAACTCATTTATCCAAGGGAGAAATACACAGTTCTACAATAATAGAGACATCAATACTCTACTCTCAATAATGGACAGAACAAGCAGACAGAACGCAAGCAAGGAAATAAAGGGCTTAAATGGCACAATAAACCAACTACATTTAATAGACATACACCGAACACTCTAACCAACAAAAAGCATACATGTTCTTCTAAAGTTCACATGGGACATTTTCCAGGATAGATCACATGTTAGGGCACAAATAAAGTCTCAATAGACTTAAAAAGATAGATATCATACAAAGTATGTTCTCTGACCACAATGGGATAAAGTTAGAAATCAATAACAGAAGGAAAACAGAAAAATTCACAAATTTGTGGAAATTAAACAACACACTCCCAATGGGTCAAAGAAAAAATCAGAAGGAAAGAAGCTAGCAGAAGGAGATAATAAAGGTTAAAGCAGAGATAAGTGAAATAAAGAATTAAAAAAAAGAAAATTATTAAACCAAAAGTTGGTTCTTTGAAAAGATCAATGAACTTGACAAACTATTAGCTAATAGACTAAGAAAAAAGAACAAAGACTCTAATTATTATAAGAAAAAAGAAAGAAGACTCTAATTATTAAAGGTTCCACAAAAAACTGTTAGAATTAATAAATGAATTCAGTAAAGTTGCAGGATAAAAAAATCAATATACAAAAGTCTGTTGTAATTTGTGATGTTTGTTTTTGTGAATCTACACTAACAATGAACTATTAGATATAGAAATTAAGAAACAATCCCATTTACAAATACATCCAAAAGAAAAAAATACCTAAGAATATATTTAGCCATGGAGGTGAAAGAGCAATACATTGAAAACTGTTAAGACGTTGATGAAAGAAATTGAAGAAGAAATTTAAAAAGCAGAAAGATATTCCATGCCACAGAATTAATATTGTTAAAATGTCCACACTACCCAAAGCAATCTACAGATTCAATTCAATCCCTATCAAAATTCCAATGGCATTTTTCACGGGAAAAATAACCTTAAAATTTGTATGGAACCACAAAAGACCCTGAATAGCTGAAGCAATCTTGAGAAAGAATAATAAAGCTGGAGACTTCCCAATTCCAAACTATACTATAAAGTTATAGTAATCAACAAATACAGACTTCCTCTCTCTACAACTTGACATGCTGGAGGCCCAGGAGCTTTTCAATTTCTCTAATCCAAAGCCTGAAACCAAAACACTATCCTTGAAATTGTGGTAGATTGATATTCATGAATAATGCTTTAGATTTACAGTCTCTTTATTCCTAAGCAGGAACAAGTGAAAAATCTCTATTTTAGAAATGAAGAAGATAGAGACTAAATACAGAGAAGCAAAACTTGCACAGTATTGAAATCTTTGTTCTTGTATCATTTTTTATTATTAAAAATTTCCCCACCTAAGTTAAAAGAAAACACAGGGTTCCCAGGTTGAGGATCTCATCCAAATACTTTTTTCCTTCTATCCTGAGGATGTGAGTCAAAGTGACTAGCTAGCTTTCAATATCTCTAGGGAACATAGAAAGCAAAATGGTTGTCAGAGAAGTCTACGAGGGTGGGTAAACATGTCAGATGTGTCCCAGAAGATGGGATGCTAACGTAATTATATAACCTTCATGCCACTGGCAAGATCTAGAATTCTATGAAAATAAAAATTAAAAGAAAAAGCAAAAAAAACCCTGGGGAAGACATTTTTTCCTGAGGAGCAAGTCATGTTATTATAAGTTCAAGTCTTAAAGTAACTAAGGAAGTTATTTCTTGTTGACTGTCCCAAAAATACATTATCAATTAATGTTAGCTACTCTTAACCTATATTGAAGAAAACTATCCATTCGTAACACTCTGGAGGGTGGTGAAATGTACATGTACCTGCTCATCACCTTAAAACTTCCACATACCTGTACTTGTATCATTCCTTAGCACTGCTTAATACTTTCTAAAATGTAAGCATTAAATTTTGCCCCACTATCACAAAATTCTCACATAATCCTGGATTAGTAACAAATTCATATTTTAAAGTATCATCAAAATAGCTTACATTTAATAAGTATATGCTAAATTCAAGCATCATATACTAAACATTTTCCATAATTTAATCCTCCTATTATTTTCCCATTTTATAGATAAGGGAACTGAGACTTCAAAAGGTTAAATAATTTACCTAAGTGGCACACAAGTGGCCACACAAGTGCCACACAAATGGCAGAGCTGGGCTCAAACTTTTTATCTTACATTGTTTTGCCTCTAATGTGAGTGTGGTATTAAAAATTCTTATTTCAAAGATGCCTTATATTCTGATTATGGGCAGGTTTATACAGCTCTGGCACTGTGAACACCATCAGCTGTTACAAGTGTGGTAGATAGATACCTGTCCCGGATGAGACAGCAAACACTTTGTTATCCTACCTTCTAACCCTGTACTCCAACTCATTTCCCGAGTAACCTATGGCAACCACCTCCTCACCCTACACAAGCTGCCAGTGATCCATGGATGCCTCAAGACAGACTGGACTCAGAAAAGACAACTTTTCTGAGTCATTTATATCTATTGTCTGGAATTAGCCACTCATGATGCTCAAAAGGGGGCTGTAATTAGTGTCTTATTAATAGTGGGCCACTAAATTCTGCTCCCTATTTAAGAAATAATATCTGTTACTGAGATGAGTACTGGTTACAATTCAGAAAACTTTAATTCTGAGTTTGATCTTGAGCAAATACTTTTGTTCCTTAGTTTTTTTATGTAAAGAGAAAATATCTGTTATGTATTTTACAGACTTTTGTGCAGATACAAAGATGATTTACACTAAAGTACTTTTAAAATAAGTATGAAGGTATTAAAAGTATTCTAGAAAAGTCTCATAGAGTTATTATGGCCAGAAAGAAAGTTTTCTTATTAAGTAAAATT